TAAATTTTTTTTTATTCTCGTCTCGATAAAAATCTCGGCCAAAAAGAAATCTCGTCTCGTGTAACGAGATTTAAAATTTCCCGAAAATTTCCCGAAATTTCGAGACTTGACCATCCCTATTCACAACCTTTCATACAATAGCAGTAAACACCCTGTATGTATAATTATGATAATTAATCATGTCATCCTATTGTTTTGGTACTTGTCAACCGCGAGCAGCTTAGGCAACTTAGGCCCGGCAGGTAGCCCATGTGGCTGCCAACCTTATAACGAAAGTTCCCCGTAAAATCCCTGCACTTGAGCGACGGCTTTGGTCTCAGCTAAGCTTGATCTCGGCTAACGCTCCATATGTCATGAACCCATTTTTTGGCTGTCTGTTAAAATTGGCCGAGATCAACGATAACCGCAGGACACGAAACCCCGTACTCGTGAATTGTCTCTTAGTGTCTTTGGTCTGTGAGACCGTTATATTAGATATTTTTTGAAATTTTTTGTATGTATTTAACTACATATAATCATAAAAGATAAAACTGTGTTACATTATTACTCCTATATCATATATGTTTACATGTTTATGGGAAACCCCCTCAGTGTTGGTAAAATATTTTTGAAAAAACGAATACATCTATCAAAAGTTGATAAAGTAAACCTTTTTTTTAATTACTGTTTTTAAATTAATAAGGCCTTCACTGATATATTATGAAAGTTTATGGACTAGTTTATGTAAACAAACACAAACCATCAGAATTCTGTCTATTTTTTAAGTGTGACTGAGACTTCAAATAATGCCTAATTTTACTCATAGAGTAATGACGATTTTGATTAGCCTACACCTTTGGTGTCTTCGGACGGTGAGACTGTTTTCGTATTTTATAAATAGCCTAGTTTTTGAATATTAGGTAACTATGGAAATACAAGATATAAACTGTGTAAAAGGATACAATTATATAATTTTGCATTATAAAAGTAAAAGTATTACATTACATTATTGTTCATAGGTAGTATTACATTATATATAGTACCTACTATTATTCATTTTAGGTGTCTTTGGTCTGTTGGACCAATCATTCCCTAGGTGTCTTCGGTGTAGGGGACCGAATTACCGGTATACAAAATTGTAAACGAATCTGTAACCTTAAAATTACACCCTCGCGTCTGGTGGTATACTGAGTTGAGGTAGGAAGGTAGCAGGAGACAAGTCCTGCAACCTAGAGGGGGGAGCAGGAACTTAAAAATATTACGTTATCGGACTCACAGACCGAAGACACCAATCTAGGGTTTAAAAATTCGCACAATATAAACTGAACATCAGAACTTCGTCAAACTTTAATACAATTTAGAGATACATATACAGGGTGATAAACTGAAGGAGGCCACCATTGGGATATACCATTGAATGTATCCTCTAGGTGTTTCTTACATCTCTGTGAAGATACTTATAGTGCAGTAAAAATAAGAGAAGAATTCCATAAACCTAAAAAAAATTAACACAACCGGGGAATTTGGTACAGATGTTGGGTGTACCTTCCTTTTGAACATACTAAAAGTCCCCTAAAATTGAAGCTGTGCTACGGCCGCCATATTTGAAAATGGCGGCAAATTTATGTATTTTTCGCTATAGTGACTTTATTATTAGAGATACAGGAAAAAGCTAAACGTACAAAATGTAGGTCATCTAAAAATACACATTTTTTGTATTTACCATCTTTCTCTAAACCCAACGGTTTTTGAGTTATTTGTTATTAAGTATATTTAGTTTTTTCTATTTATCAAAAATAGGTGAAACACATGGAAATTGACAGTTACTTTAAAGGATTATGATAATTTATCCTATTTAGTTAAATAGTGTGATACTATAAAATCTAAAAATGTAAGCTTATTTTATGAGTAAAACAACTCTGCCACAGCAAACCTGCAGACTCAGCAAATTTCCATTTGATTGGATGTTTTATTAATTGTATTTAAATAAAATTAGATTGAACAGGTACCTAGGTTTGCTGCTACAGGTAGGTTATTATAGTGTGTTTTTTTTTGTAAAATATCAATAGCTTAGTATAAAATAATTAATTTTCCAAGTTTGATCATAATAAATCCATAAACAAACAAACTGCAACAGTGAACTAATTCATAATAATAGCATGGTAGCTTAAGATTTACAATTTACAAATTTAAATATACAAATTTTGGTTGTGTTTACTAAAAATTTGGCGATTATTCGTCACGATTCGAATACTAACCGAAGGGGTTTTCAAAAGGATATGAAGCAAGTAATTTAAGTACTGTAATATTAACTCGTACCAAGTATCGGAAATATTGTATGCAGTGAGGAAATCAACCATATTTTGTAAACTACGCAATAGTCATATTAATATTTTATACTCATTTTTACCCATTTAATAAATTAACATTTTAATATTTTGATGGCACTACCACTATTACTCTGATATCAACTAAGTGGGATGAATAATTGTCGTAAACCTTGAAAGTAACCGTCGATTGCGATGGGTTTCACCGATTTTTGATAAATAAAACTAAACTATACCATACTTAATTAGTCACCAACATGAACTTGACACGAAAAACACCCTTCCAAATTTACAATGGGATGTCAAGTATAGTTAGTTAGTGTGTTGGTGCCATCAAAATACTAAAATGTTAACTATTAAATGGGTAAAAAATTTAGATAAAATATTAATATGACTATTGCGTACTTTACAAAATATGGTAGATTACCTTACTGCGTACAATATTTTCGGTGCTTGGTACGAATTAATATTACTTAAATAACAGGCTCCATCTCCTTTTGAAACCCCATTTGGTTAATATTCTAATCGTGACGAATAATCGCCATCTTTTTAGTAAACACAACCAAAATTTGTATATTCAAATTTGTTTATTGTAAATTTAAAACTCCCATGCTATTCTTATGAATTAGTTAACTGATGCAGTTTGCTTGTTTATAGATATATTTTGATCAAACTTGGAAAATTAGTTATTTTATAGTAAGGTACAGTATTGATATTTTACTTAAAAAATCACACTATAATAACCTACCTGTAGCAGCAAACCTAGGTACCTGTTGAACATAATTTTATTTATATACATTTTTTAATAAAACATCCAATCAAATGGAAATTTGCTGAGTCTGCAAGTTTGCTGTGGCAGAGTTGTTTTACTCATAAAATAAGCTTAAATTTTTAGATTTTATAGTATCACACTATTTAACTAAATAGGATAAATTATCATAATCCTTGAAAGTAACGGTCAATTTCCATGTGTTTCACCTATTTTTGATAAATAGAAAGAACTAAATATACTTAATAACAAATAACTCAAAAACCGTTGTGTTTAGAAAAAAAATTGTAAATACAAAAAATGTGTATTTTTAGATGACCTACATTTTGTACGTTTAGCTTTTTCCTGTATCTCTAATAATAAAGTCACTATAGCGAAAAATACAGAAATATGCCGCCATTTTCCAACATGGCGGCCGTAGCACAGCTTCAATTTTAGGGGACTTTTAGTATGTTCAAAAGGAAGGTACACCCAACATCTGTACCAAATTCCCCGGTTGTGCTATTTTTTTTTGGGTCAAAACATATTTTTACTGTACTATTAGGAAATCATATGAGTCTTCTATCTTGATGAAAGTGAAGTAGCAACATAAATACATTTTCAGTCATATTTAGCTTGTAGTTATTATATAACTACAATATGCGATACTCCCTGGTGTGGATTAACGTCCGCACGAGTGAGTACTACGACTATCCGCAGTACTATCCTGATAATTAGACCAATTCGTATATACCAAGGCAAAATTGTGGTTCCGATTCCACTATAAACTGTAGGTCCCTTAGTTGCCATTAGCTGTATGGGCTATTCATTAACAGCTGTGACTAAGGAATGTTGGCCTTAGTCACTAACAAGACTAGCCTACAAGATCGCGCCACTCATCCTACATTCATCTCCAATCATACTTTTCTTAAAATACCTAGTTTGTATGGTCGCCATTTAATAAGAAAGTATTAAAAGAAAGAAAGAAAGAAAAGTAAAGTATATGATTGAGTATTTTCCATATCCATTTAAAATATGACTTGGTGTAGTATTTTTAAATAAGACACTCAAATATGCTAGATTTATATCTTTAGGCTTGTGTTTGTGACATAGACAGGAACAGTACATGGATTTTGATGACTGGAGAAGATTTGTGAATTATATTTAGGACTGTGATATTAAGTTTTTAAATATTCGCTACCAAGAGCCTATGGTTTGGCTTCCGTTCATAAATTACTTTCAAGTATTTTTAATCCATAAAAATTGACATTGCATATATGAAGTTGAGCTCCATAGCACCTTATTGCATTATGGAGTAAAACTTTACTTGATTAATTCACTAAAACAGTGATTCTTTGGTTTTAATTTTACACCACCGTGTCAAGTTAAAAACTCATAATCACACAGAAAATGATGACAGTATGTCAGAAAAGTAATCTGGCACCCAGGCACAGATTTATGTATCTACCACCTCTTCTTTTTCTGCCTCAATCCCCATACTCAATTGTCACTCCCGCTTTTTTCCCACTGCCTGGATGAAAAACCCCATTGTCAGGCTTTTTGTAAGTCTGTGAAAATCTTAAAGTTGGTTCTCGGACCTCGGTACCAATACATTTGCCATGAACCAGTAGTATCGAGAATCGCCTTAAAGTACAGACACGTCACTAGTATGCACATCATGGTTAAATTTTGTTACAAATAAATCTAAGTTAAGTTTAAGTTTAAACTTGTACAGTTTTTCCTTTGTCATGCATTTTTTGTTTGTTCCTCCTACTGTACCTTTTTCAATTTTTCGTTAATAGAATGCTAGAAACAATTTTTTAAATCATACATCACCTACAAACAATTATTTGTACCTATTTTTGTTTCACAATGTTTGTTGCTGTATCATATCAATACTATTGAAAATGTTTAAGTAACTAACTTTTACTTTTCATGCTTTCTAGAACAATTAAATAAGTTTAAACACTCGTTTGAAATGATCTTGGAAGGTGAAGTGGGCGTGGACAAGTTAAGAGAGCATCTTGGAGCATGTGAAACTAGAGAGAACAAACTAAAGAAAAACTTAGTTAAAGCCACAAAAAAAGACAATGCAAATGAAGTGAGGCAAATAGAAGAAAAGATTGTTGATAATCGATCATCAATAAAGGCAACCCAGCTGGAGAGTAAGTTTGATCTATTCTTATTTTGTATTTACATTTCAAAAGATGGATTTGTTATATGGCAGAGTATTAGACTTAAATTTAACAGATTTGGTTGCACTGTCACTGTTACTTTAAACATCAAGGATTAGGATGTTTTGAATTCTTTTGTATTTAAAATATAGCTTTGTAACTCGTAGTGTATGGCTTTTGTGAACTATATACGAGGTCAGTTTGGAAACTAACCTCCGTTTTTAAATATAAATTAAACACAGAAATAGAAACAACATTTTTGTTACATACATCTTAAAACTAAGTCTTTCCTCTACTTTTCAACATAGTTTCCTTGGACATATAAACACTTATCATAATATATATGGAGAGTGTTGGGAAGTAGCGACGCTACATTGGCGCGCTACTTTTTTTGTAGCGTTAGCTGTAGCTACGCTACTTTTAAGATTTTGTAGCTTTAGCTGTAGCTAGCTACATTTTTAATTAGTTGTAGCGGAATTTTAGCTACTTTTCTCGCTACATAAACATTGATTGAGATAGTGATGATTTTTATCACAACCTTACGTGAAACAACCTCTTTCCTCTTTCAAACTTAAATTTTCAAGAAAATTAGGCTTATCTACTTTTTTGGCTTCATACAGCTGGTCGCAGCTGTTTCATTACGTATTACAACTTTGTGTGGACATGGAGGCCATTATCTGAGTGTTATCCACATTTTTGGCTCTCATTTACTTCATTTGCTACTCTATGATTACTGTCAGATAAAATAAAATCGCTAGATGCAGACAACGTTTAACATTACCGGTGACAAGAGAAGCTATTGAATTTTAGCAAGTAATTGACAGGAAAATTAGTAATCAATTTAGATTCTTTATTTTATAGATAGTTTCAACTTGGGTTTTAATGGAAACCAACACTAAACCTTAAAATAATGAGAAAGCTGGTCTATCAACCTTATTTGCTTCAGCTGTTGATTGTGGTTTATCATCACAAGCCCTTCCTTGGTTGAATTGCGAAGATTTTTCAAAGGTTTACCAAATTAGCGAAGAGGAAATTACCTGATGAAATTTAAGATATGTCTAGGCTACTAGTTGTAACGAAGAAATCTCCATATAACATGAAACTTGCATTGAAAAAATAGCAGAGTTTGCCCCTGCTAACATGTCTTGTCTTGAAAATATTCTCATACAAGAAATGTTTGTACTTTACAGTTACAGAAAGAACTCACGAGAATGAAGCAGTAAAATTAATAAGGCTGAAAGAGAGTTTGTTGAAACTAACTGCAGCTTATATGGAGCAAGCTCACAAGTCGATCATGATTTTTGATGGTCAGAAGAATGTGGTAACTGATATACCAGAGATGGATAGCTCCAGAAACATGCATAGCGTTCGATATAGAGGTCAGTTCATTTTGAAACTTCAAAAAGTTACTCTTTACACTAAATGTTAGTTAATTTTTTTTTGCTTAACTCAATTCAACGGGAGCGTAGCACGACGTATGCCAAGTGCCACGACCAATGATGTAAGTCAGTGTCACAACGTCCAAAATATAATTTTTGAGCTGTTTCTCAACATCCAATATAAAATATTTCACTGTTGCACAACGTCCAAAGCTCACCATGTCCAAAAGTACAGTAACTGCAATGAACATAGTCTTTCTACAAGCTCTGGACGTCATGAGATTGGTCGTAATGAACAGCGCATTTTACTCTCTTAAAAAAGGTAGCAGTTGCACTATGTCCAAAGCTGCTGAGTTGCACGATGCCCAGAGCACCTGCACACTGCTTTACTGACTTTAGTGCTACATTTTGCATCACAATTACAAAAGGTAACTAGACGTATTATATCTACCAATTTTGTTTCAATTTGTCAACAGCTTAATCTTCGATTAATGTTTAAAATTATTCTATATGGTTAGAATTAGAACTAATTATCGCAAAATCTCAAATTTTACTATATATAAAAACTAAATACTATGTACAATGAAGCATTATTTATTTTGGTATGTTTGCATAATTGATAAAAAAAAGTTACGTCCCATGTATTTGAAAGCCTAATCCAAACATAATTATTTTTTGTTGTTAATTGTTAGTTGTTAATTTGTTAACAAAATATAAAAATATTTCAATACATGTAAACCTTGTAGTTTTCCCGCTGTTGCCTTAAAAATGTATCAAAAGACCCACTACACTTTAAAAAATCAAGGAAAAAGCATGATTGATATAGAAACGGTTTGGAATCTTACTTAAATCCATAATCAGTGACACAATCTAGAATAAATAAACCAAACCTAAGACATAGGTGGGCAAAAATGATATTTAATTTGTTCGGATCAGCTGTCTGAAATATGGTGAAATAAGAATTTTGCCGTTCTGCTTGTTTACATTAAGAATGTCATTACAAGGTAATACAGTAGTATACTTCATAACAAGAGTAGAAAGTGAGATATTACATATTGAGACCATATGTTTAAAGTGTGATTTATCGAGCACTTTAAATGGTCAAGAATATAAATAGACCCACTTTCACTCGTGTTTTGAATGATACTTTTCACTACACTACAAATACTATAGTATATTACGTTACTAGTCCTGGATTTAGGTGGGTACCGGACGAGTGTGGTCATTTCCGTGCAAGACGAAGTTGAGTACGGGATTACCAAAGAGTCAGGTAAACACATTTTGGACGAGTGACGTACGATATTTTACGGCATACTACTCTAAGATAACTTAACAATAAAACATCTGTACAAACCCTCATTTCCACAGACAAACAGTCAACAATCACTACTCATAACCTGTAGGTTATATTTTTGTTTATAACCACTCATTGCCAAATATAATCAGCTGGTTTGTGTCCGTAAAACAGTAGTAAGTAATGAAGCCCCATTTGATTAAGCTGGCAGCAAACAGCTGTTTTCTGGACTAAATCCTTGCGTGTGAAGTTAGTTAGTAAGTTAAAACAATGGAGTGTTGTGTAAAATATTTTACCTACGACCGTTTTTTAAAGTAGCCATTTCAGTCCAGTTCTTAGAATTGAAAAGTTTCACTTTACAGCTGTTTACTTTCATATCCGCATAGTTTCATTTCATATCCGCATAGTTTTCTCATATCCACACAGGTAACGGACCAATGAGGTTCAAGTATTAAGAGAAAAGAATTAAAATTGTAATGCTTCGAACGTCAACTAATCAGCTGATCAGCTAATCAGTTGACCAATTTAATTGTTGATCCGACTTGTTCATGTTGATACTCGTGTATTCTTAATTATCGTCCAAAAAAAATGAAATATTTGCCGAATTGTACCTGATACAATATTATTTATGGTAAGAATGCCAATGTAATAATCACATTACTACATTGCTAGTACATTGCAGCTTGTACATTGCTTGCAATGTAATATTTAACGAAGTTTAACAAACACGTAATTACAGGAAATCAGCTGATTATACAACAAGTTGCATCACTTTCAGTGGCAATGACAATACACGAAAACATAACCTCTCTAAAAAGTTATCATTAGTGATTGTTAGTAATTAAATCCAGATTGATAGTAATTAAAAAACGGTCGTAGGTAAAGTAGTGTACGCAACTCGCGTTAATAGTCTTTACGACACTCGTAGAAGTTTTTAAGGCACGAGCCAAGGCTCGTGCCTTAAATTTTCTACTCGTGTCGTAAAGACTCACTTAACGCAATCGTTGCGTAAACTACTATTTCTCAATTAAAACAGACATTGGATATTTATTACAGTTAGGAACAATACAAAACTCAACAACAGCATTTTTTAGGTCGATGACTTCAATTTAAAGTTAATATTTCCTTTGGTTGTACAGTTTTGGTTGTTTTAAATTGAAATAGTTGACGAAACAATAACAAATCTTTGTTTGTTTATGTCGGCAAAATCCAAAAAAGATAGTAAACATTACTTTTGCATAGTTAATATTCTTTTTCCCTAGTAAACAATGTAATGATGAATTTTTGCAGGTGATAAACATGTATCGAAAACGGGTCCGCGGAATTGGCTAACTCTGGAACTCGCTAACCCCATGTTAAACGCCCTATCTTCAAATTTGGTCGATGAGAGGAACTCACTAACTTGTTCGGTTTCGGAATTGGCTAACTCCGGAACCCGCTAACCATGTTTGGTTTTCTCATCGCCCTGGCCTAACACCTACTATTCGACGACACCAGAGTTATTTCGGTACTTCAGTATTAAACGGAGGCCACATTTTGTCAGCGCGCTGCGGCGGTTATGTTAGGTTGGGTTATCATAATAGAAAGTATCGTTCGATTCATAACGAAGCGAGGAAAGTCCTACACACATAATATTTACGATAACCCAACCTAACATAACCGCCGCAGCGCGCTGACAAAATGTGGCCTCCATTTAATACTGAAGTACCGTTATTTCACCACTGGCTAATTACCGGGCTATTCCGCCCTCGACCTACGGTTTCGCGATGTATATGCGCGGATCCAAGAGCTATTCCGCCCTCGGCCTAACACCTAGTATTCGACGCTACCAGGGTTATTTCACCACTGGCTTATTTACCGGGCTATTCCGCCCTCGACCTATCGTCTCGCAATATACGCGGTCCGAGAGCTATTCCGCCCTCAGCCTAACCCTAGTATTCGACGCTTCCAGGGTTATTCCACCACTGGTTATTACCGGGCTATTCCGCCCTCGACCTAAGGTTTCGCGATGTACTCCACTCCACTTACCAGGGAGAGATGTCGCTAGCTATTCGCCCAGCGCTCAAGTGATTAGTCCTTGTCCCGTGCTGCTTATTTAGGGGTCGCGACGCTGGTGCAGTGCGTGGCGGCTCGGTGAACTACAACCCCGCGCTATTTGAATTGCGAACGGCAACGGTCCTACTCTCAATATTTGACCGTTACACCCCCTTCTTAGTTCGGGGTGAAAAAAAACCAACAAAAAAAAATTCTCTTACTTCAGGAACAAAATTCTTTAATGCAACATCCCTGCATAAACAAACTTAGATCTTCCTATGAGTAAAAGAACGAAAACTCTTCTTGAAACTAAAAATTTCTTCTCTGAACACAAAAAAAAATCCTCAATCATTATGCCTCCGAAACTGAGGCTTCAAGACTTTTTCGCGGTACCATGTTCCGTCTTCTCTCCAGCGTCGGACTTTGTAATGTTTGGATTTTCGTCGCCTTCGGTAGCCAATAGTCTCAGATGCTTCGTCGTTTTGGGATTGCCCCCTCGCGTACGTAATAATAATAATAATAATAATATCACTTTATTGTCATAAAACATTTCACATTTCCAGCAAAGCTGGTGAAACAGATGACATTGTCATTTCTTAGCTAACAAAAATGAAAAACTAAATCTAAGAATTAAAATTAAAATTAAACTAGTCACTTTTTAAAAAACAATCATTTAAATACTCTTCTATTGTATAGTATTTCTTTTTTATAAGGAATAATTTGAATTCTTTCTTAAACTTTATAATACTATTGATGTTTTTAAAATGAGCAGGTAAACCGTTGTAAAGCCTCAGACTCATATAGTACGGTGATCTTTCGTAAACACATAGCCGATGTCTTGGATACTGCAAATTATTTTTTGAACGTGTTGGGTAGTGATGAATAAATTGATTTTTTATAAATAATTGTGGATTACTCTTAAAGTATACCAGAATTTTATAAATGTAAAGTGAAGGCATTGTTAAAATTCCATATGTTTCAAAAAGCGGTTTACATGACTTTTTTTTGTGTGTAAATGATAAGATTCTTAAAAACTTCTTTTGTACCTTAAAAATTGTTGAGGCATATGATGTTGAGCCCCATAACTCAATACCATATTGCATAATGGAAAAAAATATCGCATAATAAACTATCAGCTTTGTTTTAGAATCAATTATGTTTCTTAAAACATACATCTGGAAACAAGCTGTATGTAATCTTTTAGCTAGTATTTCAATGTGAAGTTTCCATGTCAAATTTTTATCAATATTTATGCCTAAAAATTTAGTTTGTTCAACAAAAGCTAAAATATCATTTTTGTACGGTAATTCAAAAATTATGTTTTGCTTATTTTGTAGTGTTTGGAATTGCATAATATGTGTTTTAGCATTATTAAGTTTTAAACCATTTGCCGCAAACCAGTTAGTTAAGTCTACAATTGATTGATCAAGTTCTAATCTAAGAGTATGTACATCTTTTGCTTTTACTATGGCTGTAGTGTCATCAGCATATAATATTAGGTTTGATGATACATTGTTAGGTACATCGTTAATGAATATTAAAAATAACAAGGGACCTAAAATTGATCCTTGGGGTACACCACAATTGATGGTTTGCCATTTTGAAATGAAGTTTCTACCATTTTTCTTAATGACAGTTCTTTGTTGCCTGTTTCTTAAATAAGATTGTATCC